CAGAACTGGGGTACAGGCCAGAGATGCAGAGGGTGAGAGGATTCACCAGGGACAGAGTAGGGAGCAGAACAGGCAGACAGACGAAGTACACTGCTGAGGGGAGCAGTGGGCGGGTCAGGAGAGGTCTACCATGCCATTTGGATCTCCTCTGGGGCAGGCGGGATAGAACTCATGCAGAAGTGGCTTAAGCTTCTTAGTACAGTGCTTTAACCCACTGCACCACGAGGGAGGGCCCACTGTTTTATATTTTACAGTCACAAAAATGCCGTGTTCTTACTAATAAATCTAAGTTAAATTTAGGACATGACAATCTGGAGCGATCTTCCCAGAAATACCATTGACAGATATAATCAGTAATATATCTGAGAAGCAAACTGCTGGCAAATTGATGGGCAGCTCTTCATGGGCTGTTGACCTCTGCTGGGGTCCCTGTTTAGCAGAGAGACACCAAGAGTAGCCAAGAAACGCCCTCTCTGCAGACAAGCAAGCGCTTCCTTTTCAAGCAATATCTAGAAATGTCCCCAGCATCTGGTACAAAAAGCAGAACCAACACTTGCTCATTTCTCAGCTGGAGGATTGATAGTCTCTTCCCCTTCCCATTGTTCAGAAACTCTCTTTTGAAATATCTTTTCCTTTTATCAGTTTGGAACTGCTTAGAACTACTTTCATTTGTTCAGCTTTGAGGATACAGGTCTTCCTAACAAAAAGAACTTTGTAAAAGGAATCTTGGAAATATAAGAAGATATGCTTCCTCACTGAAACTGCAAAACCCAAGTCAAAACAAACAACAATACCGACACAATCTGCTGCATTAAAATGGCCATGCATGAAAAGTGCAATTTTTTTGCAAACTGAATACCTCCCTTCATGAATGTGCTGTTATCTTGCCCAGCTGCTCAAGGACGCTACTCCAAATTCTCACAGCTTTCACTGTAGGTCTCATTGATATTTCCCCCAGCACTTGCTTGATCTTTCCAGTCAGCACACACACATGCTATTCAGACAAAATTCTATTTCTATCAGGTAGTAGTCAGGAGAAGCATTATGTTAAAATAGTAACACTCCAGACTCAACTGTTACTGGACTAAAATACTCCTCAGCAGATCAACACTAGATTATGGGGAATTCACTGGACGTGGGAGATAATGAAGTAGTTAGAGCATTTGGCTCTCAGATGTGGAGAGGCAGGAGCTGATTAACTTTTCCAAGGATACACATACACAGCACTTCCGGGGACATTAGTCTTGTCTTTTAATCAGATTCCAAGGTCCTATTTAGCTATTGCCCTGTCAATTAGCCACTGTGCATATAATGGAAAGAGTGAAAATAATTCAGGCTAAAGTTCCCAGTGTTCAGGATATGCCTGTCTCCTGGAAGGTAATTTATAAAGAGGATTGGAAACAGGTGACAGTGATCCTTACTTCCTTTATTTGTTATTCCTGGTTCCAATTAACCTTCCCCTCAAGCCTCTTGACCACTGTGCTTCTTTGCGTCAGAGCCATGCACATCATTTACCAATTCCCACTAAGGAGTGACATGATAGAAGCTGTCAGCATAACCACAGGTGTACATTGGTCTAAATATGCCTTATTATAGAATTCCATTTTTACTAAGAAAAACATGTACATGCATATTTTGGTGGCAAAGAGCTGTGATTCCTGGTGCTCTTTGTGAAACACAACACATTGATAGATTTACGGCAACCATATACATGAAAAATTACTAGCTCTAAATTTCTATCAATATATTTGAACATGGTTACTTAGAGAAATATGGCAATACTTTTGTAACAGGAGAACTTAGTTTCACTTTTGGCTTTGTGACCCTTGGTTTCCTTAACACTTCTTGTCTTTTTTGCAGCTTCACCCTCTTTGAAGAAAATCTCCCTCCTCCTCTTCCTTCTTCCCCCATCCCCAGCTACCAGTGAGAACTTGGTTCAAGAGAGTCTAGGGTTAGCCTCCCTCTGCAGCCCACTCTATATTTCCAACCACTCTAATCCTTCATTCCTCACTTCACATTAAAAGTTTTCAGTTTATAATTTTAAAGAGCCGATTGAAGCACATTCTGGGTCATTTTAAGTTATTAATCACATATCCAGTTATGAAGGCCAGTGCCTTTCAGAAAAACATTATTTCAACCCAGTGAGTCAATCGGGGAGACTGTCCTTGGCAAAAAAATGATGCCCAAACTCTCAGGTTTAATTGTGTTAGTACCTCATTCTTTAAGCTATTGGCCTTCTCCTGCTTTGCTTTAACTTTGTCAGAATTCCTGATGTAGGAGGGCCGGGAGGGGGAGTTCTGTGTGGGTTATGTCAATGTCACCCCACCGTAAGAGGCTGCTAGTCACGAGGCCCCTTTGCAGTTAGGACAACTTAGGGGTGGTCGTTCATCTTGCAAAAGAGCAAAAGGTATAGGGTATACCTGGGAGCTGAACCTACCAGGATTTAAAATTCCTACCAGGTTAGATGCACTAGAGTCAGGGGTTGTTGCTGATTTCAATGAGGAGCAACACCCGCATTCATCTTTTTAACTGATCACACCAGTATCTCTAAAATGTTTTCAGCCTGTCCTCTTCGATAAGTTGTATGCGATACAATGGCGCCATCTACTGTCAGAAAAAGGAACGCCACACCGTCCTTCACGTTTTAGTCAGTAATGCAGAGCCAATCAGTGGTGATGGGGAACTAGCTATCTTCTGCTGTTTAATTAATCAGAAACCTCGTGGGCTGAGGACTGAATGGGTGTCATTTGTGGCACATTGTTTATTTTCTGTTTGGTTTTCTTTTCTTCTTATGGAGGTAACGTTGGTTTATAGCACTGGATATGTTTTAGGAGTCGAGGCTCACACACCCTCAAATGTATGTTTCCATACTCGCCCACACCAACACACCAATAATTCTAAAGCACAGTCCACAGGGTCGCCTCCCTCATTTCTCACCCTCCTCCACCTCGGTTCTCAATCAGAATCCGCAGGTTTGTTTTGGTATAGCTTTATCTGTTCCTTTGCTTGTTTTCTTGATAGTTCACATATGATTGACGTCACCTGAGACTTGTCTTTCTCTTTCTGGCCTTATTTTGCTCACAATATTCTCCTCCAGGCCCTCCTTGGTGGCGCAGTGGGTTAAAGCACTGAGAATCTAGAGCCACTTCCGCATGAGTTCGATTCCCGCCTGCCCCGGAGGTGACCACATGACGTGGCAGACCTCTTCTGACCTGCCTGCTGCTCCCCTCAGCAGTGTACTTCGCTGATCTGCCTGTTCTGCTTCCCACTCTGTTCCTGGTGAATCCTCTCACCCTCCGCATCTCTGGCCTGTATCCCAGTTCTGTATGCACAAATAAATAAATCTTAAAAAAAAAAAAAAAGAATATTCTCCTCCGGTTTCATCCATATTGTTGCAAAGACTTCTTTCCATGATATATTTAGGGTGTTATTCTTTAACTACTTCTCTGACTTTGGTACTTAGATTATTTCCATGTCTTAGCTATTTAAATAGTGTTGCAAGGAACATATATCACTGGATTTTCAAATTCTTCAGTTACAGACATAGGAGTACAATTGCTGGATCATATGGTAGATCTATCTGTTACTATGTTTATATTTTAAGTCTGCAACAGCTATTAAATTAATACTCCAACTTATTTTTCTCCTTTCTGACGAGGTTTTACTTAATGTCAATTAAAACTATTTTCTTCCTCCTTCAGACATCAATTACAATGTTATGATTTGGTAGGAATTTAAAATTTTCTTTTTAGTAATAAAGGCTGAAAAAACTGTAGGTTGATTTGAACAGGTAAGTTTTACAAGGTCTCAAAAGATTTATTTATTTATTTATGCTTACAGAACTGGGGTACAGGCCAGGGGTGTGGTGGGTGAGAGGATTCACCAGAGACAGAGTGGGGAGCAGAACAGGCAGATGGACTGAAATACACTGCAGAGGGGAGCAACCTGCCGGTCAGGAGAGGTCTGCCGTGCCATGTGGAGCAGCAAGCTGGACAGGAGAGGCCTGCTGCACCATGTGGGTCAGCTCCCTGGCCGGGGACAGAACTTATGCTGCAGTGACTGGGGCTATCAGCTGTCACAGTGATAGTGTGGGCACCTTGCCCATAGGCTACCAGGCTGACTGTAGACTGGTCAATAGAAGTGGACTTCTGGATCGTATAGTAGTGTTTTTAATTTTTTGAAGAATCTCAATACTGTTTCCTTAGTGGCTGCACCACTTCATGGTCTCAGTATGTCCACTTGTGCACTTTTTCCCCTTTTTTCCACTTGCTCACCAGCACTTCTTATCTCTTTTTGATAACAGGGTTTTTTTGATAACAGGGTTCTTAGGATGTGAACTTCTCCTATTTTAATTTTTGTTAAAGATCTATTTCTGCATACAAAAACAGGGGTGAAGGCCAGAGGCGTACAAGGTGGGGGTGGGGTGAGCGCAAGAGGATTCACTAGAGACAGAGTGGGGAGCAGAACAGCGGATCTACTGAAATATGCTGCTGAGGGGAGCAGTGTGTGAAACAGGAGAAGTCTGCTGTGCCTTGTGGGTCACCTCCCTGTCCAGGGTTCCAACTTGTGGTGCTGTGGCTTGGGACAGCTTTATAGTGCTGCCCTTTAACCCATTGCACACCAAGGAGGGCCCCTCATTATTTTTCTTTGAGAGTTTCAACTGACTTTCTTCTGGGTTCCATGAATTGGAGAGCATTCTGTTCAGATCGTGCCTCTGGTTTTTGTTGTTCTTTTAAAGTTGCACTAGTTTATAACATGTAAGATTCAGAATATCCTTGTCATCTGTAAATACTTGATTGTTGCCTTGGGGTTATCGCATGTGGTGATAACAAAAGGTCAATTTTCTATCACCACCACACAGTTGCCTCCTTTGCACTGTTCACTCCGCCCCTTCTGGTCTTGATTTGTATTTGCCTCATCGTTCATTATGTTTGCTTCGAAACCAGATTTCATTTAAACAAATCGCTCCTTGGCTTTAAAGCATACAGTTGAAAAACCAGTCTAGATCAAAAAGGAAATGGATTAAAATGTAACATTTTGGCAGGATCTGTAGGAAAGTAGGGGATAATTAGGGCAAATTCTATGATTCTGAAGCAACTCACAAATTTGTGGGTTTCACAGTCTTCTCAGGTTTTGGCTTGCTAGTGAGGTTTCAGATACGACGTTAGTCACCTTGTCTTTGCGGTAGAGTGTGGAGGAAAACATGGGGGATGTGGGCAGGACTGAACAAGGAGTTGGACAGGGAGTCATGATTGTTTCTTATGTTCCCAAAGATCTTGACATTTAAGCTTTACTGAACTGCCATTTAAATCAATTGAAAGTATTAGTTTTACAGGAGTTAACAAGATTTCTTAGTGATAGTTGGTGAGATCCCTCCTGTATGGTCCACTGCTCCCCTCAGCAGTGTTCAGCACATCTGTCTGTTCTGC